TGCTGAACCTGAGGCTATTGGACGCCTCAGAATAGGGGCCCCCGGGCCCCCGAGAGCTCGGGCGTTTGCCAGCCACCTCTGGGCTCTCCCCAGCCATGGAGAGGAGGACACCCGGCTTGCTGAGCTCCACATCCCTCTCCGTGTTGCTGGAAGATGCCCAGATGCTTGTGGCAGAGCTCACTCGGGATGCCGCTCTCCCAGACATGCCTTCAAAGCTTCCTGCAACAGTCGGAAGAGGATCTGCCGAGGCCGGGAGCACCTTTGGGAGACAACAAGAGGGGCTGGGTGCCACGGGGAGCACCCGTTTGGCCTGGTCTCTGCTAACGTCACGCAACAAGTCCACTTCAGCGCTCAGCGACCACATCTCCAGGCGCTAACAGCGAAGTTGGGTCACAGGTAACTCGCAGGGCTGGGAGAGTCGGGGCAGGGAGGTGTTGGGGCTCGGGAGAGCCTTTGGGATTCAGGGGAGATACGGGAAGGGGAGATGAGCAGCGAGGAGAGGGGTGGAAAGAGGAACCTGGGAGCCGGGAAACTGACTGGGAAGTCAAGGAGGGGAAATAAAGAGTCAAAGCCCAAAAAACCTTGGGTCCCTTTCTCCTACGCTCCAAAATACAGTGTCCAGGTGGGGACGTGAACACAGTGGGGAGAAAAAAAAAAAAAAAAAGCCCTGAATAAACTCACCACCAGCTCAAAGTCTTACACTGCAGCAGAAAAATCTCTGGACCAGGAGGAGTTGGCAATGACCTGAATGAAATGCAAGTGGCAGCAGGAAAGGTCACCTACCTTCTCCCTCGTTGGCACAGAGGGGGTGCTGCTGGCCGTTTCCGCCACGGGCAGTTTTTTCTCTTGTACAGACTTCACGGAGGTGTCGCAGGATGGGGAAGCGTCTCTGGGCACAAGGGTAGCGACCAGGGTAGTTGTTTCCATCCAACTGTCTGTTGGAGAGAAAACAAAATGTATTGTGTTAATTAGGAGACCTAAAAGGGGAGTTTTGCTGTTCCCCAAGGTCGCTGCAACAGGATACTCCCAGAGCTGAGGGAGGCAGGGAGCAGGACCCAACATGGGTACACAGACATTCAGCTGGGGTGTTTTACGTCGGAAATGAAGCAAGTGCCTCTGCCAAGTCCTGGTCAAGACATCGTGCCAAAATACAGCAACAACTGGAGGAAAAATAAGGGATAAAAAGCAGCCAGGCTGGATTTCTGCACAACCCAACCTCGCTCCCTTCCTGGAGGGGGCCACTGGGGCGCAGGAGATGGGAGAGGAGACAGGTGACACCAGCAGAGAGCTGCCCTCTGCACCTCCATGAGCGCTCACGGGTGTTACAAAGGCAGATCCAACCTTGGGCTGTCCTGTACCAACAGCCACAGCCACCACCATTCTTTGGGAGGGTCCCCATGGCCTCCCAGACGGGCCCTACCCCACACCTGCAACTTCTCTGCCACCTTCCATCCTCCCTGTCGAGCAGGGCGGGCAGAGAATCACCGAACAGAATCACAGAATCATTTAGGTTGGAAAAGACCCTTAAGATCACCAAGTCCAACTGTTACCCTAGCAGTGCCAAGCTCACCACTAAACCATGTCCCTGAGCACCACATCTACACCTCTTTTAAATACCTCCAGGGATGGGGACTCCACCACTTCCCTGG